GGTTAAATCTGTCTGCAGCCTGAACGTCTATACACATTTTATTTAATTACCTCCAAACACAAACTCTCCAAACACAGCAGAAAAAAAACTGACACGTAGTGTTTTGATTAGATCCCCACAACTATAATTTTGAATTAGCGTTACATATAGAAATGTCTTATTAGATAGACTGTAATCGCCTTTAACATGTAAATAACAAGCAGCTCACACTGATGAAGTAATCATAACTCCCCAGGGCTATTGCTTCAGTTCTAGAGCTATTTATACACTGCCTGCTAACCCTTTAGGTCTTCTATGGAACTGAAATGCACTGTGTCCTTTTTGCCTTTAGGGTAATGTCACAGGGGAGATTTACATGCTGCAATTTTGAAATTAAGGTTCTCATGCTGAGTCGACAACCCCAGCATAAGTTTCAGTAGCGATCATTCCCCATTAATCAGATGAGGCTGTGAGAGACTTTTTTTTTGCAGCTATTGCTGCATGTATCATATCATGTGTGACAACGAACAATCTTTATCAAAACCTAGAATAAGCTAAAGTACAATATATAATCTCAGCCAAATCTTCCGTCATTTGTGTCTCACATGCTCCCCTTCCCAGACACTGCAGCTCACAGTGGGAAGGTTTCAGCAGCAGAGGGAGTAATGTCAATCCAGAAAGCAGTTGAGGGGTAGAGGGCTGCTGGCTTGTGAATCAACAGTGACAATACTGATAGCCATGCCCCCTGCAACATCTTCTCATCCCACTATAGTGTAAGCAGGCACATCTACATGGGGGTGACAACTATGCTCTGCATTCAGTGCAGCATTGTCCACCCAGTCACAGAAAGCTGCATTAGGTGATCAACTGGCATTTGTGGGACTTTGCGGGGAGCTAAGAGAAAACTGTAAGCGTAGATGTATTTACAATGCAGTTCTGCAGCACATATTTTTTTTCATGGCGGGCCATAGTTCTACATTAAAGCAAACCAGTTTTCACAGGCCACTGCTTTGACTTTACAGAAAGCTAAAATGTGCATTTCTAAAGCTTCATTCACATTGCCGTGTTGGGCCATTCGCCGACACGAATGATCGTAATTCTCTGGCGGGTTCCCTAGGTGTTTGAGATCAGTTGTAGCCACAACACCTGTACAAATCAATGCAGAGAGTTTGCTCTCATCTGTTCCTAACTGCATGTAATCAGTCCATGTGTGATTACATGTGAAAAGCCATGAACAGCCTCTCGTTGATTTGTACAGGATGAGTAGCCGTGGCTGAACTCAAACACCTGTGGAACCCGCTGGAGATTTACACATTCTTGTTGGTGTACAGCCCAAAATGGCCATGTGAATGAGTCCTAAGGGAGCCCAGGGTTTGGGGGTTCCAGGGCACCCAAAAGGAATGGATTTACAAATCAATGTTACCAAAGGGCACCTGGTGGTGCTTGGTCAGTAGTCAGGGCCTATTTTTTAACTTTCAAGTGTGGTGACAGGTGTATTTTAATGGTGCAGTGTGGCTACACCTTGATTTGTTTCACGAATTGGAGCTGCAGTGTGAAACACATCCACATACTCATGCTTCTGATAGGATAGTAGATCTTAAATAAGCCTCCTGAATTTTAGAATAAATGCTGACACTTACTTATTGGGGGACATTCATCAGTTCTGTCGCATGGCAAAGCAGTGCTAAACAGAGTCAGTGAGACCACTTGGAGACAGATTTCTCCAAGGTTATAGCTTGAGTCATAAATTCCTTCCTCAGTAGAAGTAGCACTCTGACAGAATAAAACTTGACCCCAACCACTTCTTAATTATGCATCAGTTTAGAGTTAAAATCTGTTGCTCCATTAGTAATTATTCTTTCTTAAACCTTTGCAAAGTGTCTCACTTGACAGCCCAGGAATACAGACGCATAGGACTGTAAACCTGTTGCAGAGACTTTTTCAAAGGAGAGGCAGCCTAATGTGCTTGATAATGCCCCCCCCCACTGTATAGTGCACATTGTAGGGCTGCAACCAACTAATCGATTAATCGATATTGAGAATAGTTGTCAACTATTCTTATTATCAATAAGTTGGCTGGATCCCCTAGCTCTCTTCTCCATGCTGGGAGGAGGGCACAGCAAGCAGTGGGTGGGTACAATAGCCAGCCTGCGATTGGATATTGCAATCTGAAATGGCCAATAGCAGCCTGGCTATTGCACCTGCCCACTACCTGCTGTATTTACATTCAGCTGCCGTCTGCGGAACCTTGCCACTGATAGCTGTCATTCCCTGGCTGTAGTTATTCAAGCACCATGTGCTTACAATTATTTAAAAAAAAAATGATAAAAGGTGGGAAAAAATTATTTTTCCATTTCGTCCTGACAAATTCTGCTGCGGGAGGTGTGTTGCAGTGCCATTCATTTTAATGGCATCCCAAACACGCCTCCCACTCACTGTGTGATTGCCCGCACTGGAACGCACAGTACCACAATGCTGAGCCTTCCAGTGCAGTGCGATTGCAACAAATTGTGCATACAGTTTTATTCTGAAGCAAGCTTTATGTTTGTAACACTATTTGTGTATTTTATTTTAAATTAAGGATGGTATTTCATTTTTTTATCCAATTAATCAAAAACAATAATTGGCCAACTAATCAATTATGAAAATAATTATTAGTTTCAGCCTGCCAAAAGCCCGTGGGGTTCCTGAAGTGATTGTGAGTCCCTAGGTGGCAGCAGGCTTTGGTACTGCTGCCTCTTAGAGAACTATGGGGTTAGTGCTTTTCCCCATAGTTCTCCTAAGTGTAATGGGAGGACACAAACTAGCGTCCTCCCGCGGTATACTGAGACGCCGCAGCTGGAACAGATCCCGACAATTATGTCTGGATCCACCCAGCTGCGTGAGGGAAAGCTGGCTCTGCCTATCTAGAGGCAGAGCCAGCTGTACCCGCCTCTCCCCCGTCCGTTCCGCCAGTCAGCGCTGGAGGATCGGACAGGGGAGGGGGGGATCCAGTCCCTCCCCTGTCACGGCTCTGTGCACGGATAGATCGAGAAGTGAGTAAGCACTGGTATGTGTTCGCTCACTTCCCGATCTACTGAGCCGACCTGTGACAGTTTCATTGTCACAGGTCGGCTCAGATTATGAGGCTGAGTGAAAATCACTCCCCTCATAATTCTCCTTTAAACTTTAGAGTAACTGCCTGGACTTATCATTTGTATATTGTACCCTACACATAAGCACTCTGAGTGAAGAAGAATCAGTGCTCTCAGCCAATTAGGCTCTACTGCTTTGCCCAGTGTCAGCCCAACACTAAACGTGCTTAGAGGAGAGGATGGCAAGCATCTGACCTCAGCTATTACTACTACTTTACTATCTAGTCAGCAAGCTGGGAGAGGTGCCTATGGGTCATGTCACCTATGCAATACTGTCCAGCAACAGGATTACTGAAGCGAGCACTTACCTTCTCATACATACACCTCCTGACAATGCCTTCATATATTTCATTCTACCCAAGGGGAATAAGTTAAGGTCAGCATCTACGTTTGAGGCTAGAATGATGGACCAGGGAGGACACACTCGCAATCTGTGACCAGCCAGTATAAACCTCCATCATACCTCCACAGCTCAATCCATCTGCCGCTCTATAACCTGCTAGTGTATAAATCCACACACACACAAGTTAATCCAACTGCCATTCTATAACCTGCTAGTATAAGAATCCATCAAACACAGCTCAATCCCACTGCCGTTCTATGACATGATAGTGTATAAATCCATCAATCTTTCACAGATCAGACAATCTGTTATCTCGTAGCCTCTATCTTGCTGGCAACTTACAAGGAATAATCTGATGATCACTAGGAGATGAAAGGAAATTATTTATTTCTGTCAGCAGACCCAAATAAGCTGGAGCTTAAAACCTATTTTTTAATAATAAATTCAAATTTTTTTTAGAAAATTATACCATTACTCTGCACTGAGACATGTCAAAAATGTATTCATGTAGACTTGCTTAGTTATGCCAAACTGAAGACACAAGTCATAATTTTCCCAATTTGAAAATACAGAAAGTGTGACTTTGAAAATTCACTGGGGCCATGTTATATGTCCACACTAGATGAAAGCAATGATTGACAGTACTTCTCTTCAAGAAGCCAAGAGCTGTATAAAACCTTGATGTAAATTAGAGAATATTTTCTTTTCAAGGAAAACCTCTTTCAATTTTTGACTTGCATATTAAATTGTGTAGTCCTGCAAATAAACTTTACTACTTTTCTTATTTAAAATCCCAATTTTACAATTATCTAAAATGAACTCAAACATTTGTGATGCCACTAAAGCTGGCCATGCGCTGGTAGATTTTTGTACAAATGTTCATTTGAAAAATTTGGTCAGAACATTTGATAATGCCATCAGAGACTTGGCGAACGTCCTTTCTCATTCATTTCAATGGCATTCCAAATGCACCTCCTGGCTGTAGCATGCATTCCAGTGCGGTGCGAGTGCAAAAAATGTGCATACCGTTTTATTCTGAAATAAACTTTATGTTTGTAACACTGAATTTGTGTATTTTATTGTAAATTAAGGATGGTATGTTTTTTATTTAATTAATAAAAAAAATAATAATTGGCTAACTGATTATGAAAATCGTTATTTGCAAAAATTGATTATAATTTATAAAATATTGCATATTCATAACATCTACTTTTGCTGTCTCATCGATCTCACTGGCTCATATAAACAGTCATTTCACACATTTGTTCCTTGTTTTTCGGGAACAAAACAGTCACAGCCATGGCCATTTTGTATGAGGATAAAGCCACTTCACTATAATGGTGCTATAATCCTTCCTATAAACATTGTCGATTGTATACAGTCAATGTATCAATGCTGACCGTATCATGGGCCTCAAGCACTGAGTAATCAAAATAGACGGAGGAGAACAGGAGGATAAAGACACATTTCATAAAACAAAATCAGCTGGTAAAAGAATACAATACAAAAGGTCTGACGTTTCAATGCATTTTGTCAATACTTACGGAGTTTATTTCATTTACAGCTCGAGAAGCAGAATTTGTATTGGCTTCATTCTTTGGTGCCACTTGCTCCAACTTCTTAACTTTTGGATCAGGTGGGCTTTCTTTGGCTTCTGGCTTTGTCAGTGGCTTCTTGGGACTTTGCTTCTGGGGTGGCAGCACATTTGAAACTGTTGATTTTTTGAGGTACGAGTCTTCTTTAACAATTGAAGGCATTGGTGCGTCCACATAGTAGTTGTGAAAGTCGTCATGTAGTTCTCCATTCCCTGTGCTGCTTGGATTGTGGCCAAAGGAAGCCTTTGGTGATGGTTTAGAAATGACCTCTTTCACAGAAGCTTTAGAAGGTACAGGTTTAATGGAAGAAATAGGTAGATTTTCAATCGATGTGCATTTTCTTTCAAGATTGGCAGGTGGTACCACAACAGAGTTAGAATATGTTCTCTTTAAATCATGCTGACGAGGAGGCTGCAACGGTTCTTTCAATTTTTCTTCTGGTGTTCTTGGAGGAGTTGTTCCTTTCCTGTAAAAATGTGGAGACTCTTTTGGAGATGGAGATTTCCTAGGCAACTTTTCCTCAACATTCTCTTTAACCTCTACAACTTCTTGAAACTTTTGCCTGATATAATCCGGTCCTGTAATAACAAAATCTAATAAGACTCTGAGTTTTAAATGGATATAGACATACATGATATACATTAGCAGACAGAGACTTGTTATTGTTTTATTTATTTTTTTCTAAAGGGTATTATATCTCATGAAAGTCCCATCACAGAAAAGGGTTCACTAAGAAAACTTAACTCGTTAATATGTATGATTTTTATATTGCACTCTCTCAGATATAATATATAATAAAGACGTATCTCAATGATGTGGAAGTTGACTAGTGACACCCTTACTCATTTTTTTGGGTATGCATGGCATTAATGCTGGAATGGTCACAAGACACCGGTTTATAAATACACTAGATAAACCACACTGTAATCATCTACATTTGTTTCAGGTTTCTCTGTCCGACCCTTGTGCAGAATGATGAAACATTACAATTTGCAAAGATGCAGATTGCAAAGAATTCTAAGCTTCTTGTAATAAAACAATTATGTTAACAAATACAGAAGAAATGTAATTATGTAAAAATATTTATAATTATAATGCTAAATGTGTTTCTGCAAACTTTCTGTAATGCTAGCTGTACACCGCACAATTTCTGCTAGTGATGTGGCCTGGTATTGTTAGCAATCACCCAGTAGAATAGATATAGTATTAAAAACTGATTGCATGGGAAAGGCTTAGGTCCTCTGTGAGACTTTTACTGCTATCTGTGTCTCTCACGGGTACATTTTCTTAGCCTTAGAGTGGGAAGGACTAGAACCCCTGTCTGGGCTACTTTGGAAAGATTTACCCTCACTTCTTGTCCTGCTGACAATGGTTTCACCAGACAGGAAGCCAGAGAAATACAGGGATACACATGGAAATACAAATCTGACAGGGATTCTAGCCTTCCCCATCTCTACTAAAAAGTGCATTTTCGTTTTCGCCTGTGTTGCTGTTGGAAGACTTCCTGTCTGGTAAATCATCAGCAGAACAGAAGAGGAGACATCTCTCTTAAAGGAGAACTATGGGGTTAAGGCTTTTCCACATAGTTCTCCTTAGGGTAACGGGAGGACACAAACTAGCGTCCTCCCATCACACTAAGCTCAGTATACCGCGAGCTACAGCTCGCGGTATACTGAGGCGCCACAGCTGAAGCGGATCCCGACAATTATGTCTGTATCCGCCCAGCTGCGTGAGTGACAGCTGGCTTTGCCTATCTAGAAGCAGAGCCAGCTGTACCCGCCCCCTCCCCCATCCGTTCCGCCAGTCAGCACTGGAGGATCGGAGCGGGGAGAGGGAATCCAGCCCCTCCCCTGTCACAGCAGAGTGCCGTGACCGGATCGAGAAGTGAGCGAACGCCGGTATTTGTTCGCTCACTTCCCGATCTACTGAGCCGACCTGTGACAGTCTCATTGTCACATGTCGGCTAGAACTATGAGGTGAGTGAAAAACACTTTAAGGAGTCCTGGATAGCAGTACAATCCTGACAAGGTTTCTAATACTTCCCTACTCAATCCAAAACTAAGAAAAACATTTGGGCTGCACATAAAGTTTTACTTTCTGTCCTGGTGACACCTCAGTCACTGGGACAGGGAGTGATGGGAAATGTTCTCAGTGGAGATGCAGGCAATATTAAAACTCTGTCAGAAAATTAAACCCTTTGCTACTCCATCCAAAACTAAAAAGAAAACGTTTTGGTCAGAGTCCTAGTTTAAAGCACACTTTATAGGTAGTGAACTGGCTCTTAGGTAGCACAGGCTCCTACAGGGGTGTTTTCATATACAAACAGTGTCCAGAGCTCACATGTTGGCAGTGTAGAATGGCAGGTCCCGTTTCCTCTGGCTGCAAACAGTGGCCATCAAAAAGACAAGAGGAGTTGGCCACAACATAACTAGGAGAGATCCAAATAAAACACAGCAGTGCTCAACATTTTTTATATTGTGTGTTCTTCCTAAAGGTCCCCACACACCTTACGATAATCGTACGATAATCGCGGGAAATCCCGCGATCGTACGATTATCGTAAGGTGTGTGGAAGCCGTGCGACCTCTACTACTGTAAGGTCGCACGACTTTTAACTTCCGGACATGTTCGAAAACCCGCCGAGCATCGTACGATGTTCGGCGGGTCTGTAGCATTTTTGTAAGATAAAAGCCGGACGGGCCGGTGTGCGCAAGTGCACACTGCCCATTCGGCATTGCGGTCATCAGAAGCCCGCCCCTTATAGGTAGTGAACTGGCTCTTAGGTAGCACAGGCTCCTACAGGGGTGTTTTCATATACAAACAGTGTCCAGAGCTCACATGTTGGCAGTGTAGAATGGCAGGTCCCGTTTCCTCTGGCTGCAAACAGTGGCCATCAAAAAGACAAGAGGAGTTGGCCACAACATAACTAGGAGAGATCCAAATAAAACACAGCAGTGCTCAACATTTTTTATATTGTGTGTTCTTCCTAAAGGTCCCCACACACCTTACGATAATCGTACGATAATCGCGGGAAATCCCGCGATCGTACGATTATCGTAAGATGTGTGGAAGCCGTGCGACCTCTACTACTGTAAGGTCGCACGACTTTTAACTTCCGGACATGTTCGAAAACCCGCCGAGCATCGTACGATGTTCGGCGGGTCTGTAGCATTTTTGTAAGATAAAAGCCGGACGGGCCGGTGTGCGCAAGTGCACACTGCCCGTTCGGCATTGCGGTCATCAGAAGCCCGCCCCTCAGGGGGCGTGGCTTGCGATCATCGCAAGTACGATCTGCCTATGCAACATAGGCAGATCGTACTTTTTTTAAGTACCTTACAACCATCGCAAGACAAAAGTCTTGCAATGGTTGTAAGGTGTGTGCCCAGCCTAATACTCCTCAAATGAAATGATTTTTGAACCTGAATACCTCCCTCCTCTTGTAGGTGCCGGCAAGTAGGAATTAAAGTTAACAACCCCCCACACAAACAATATATCTGAACCAGACTTCTAACCAATCCATAAACGAAACTTACAAATAAAACTGACCATTAACAATTAACCCAGTCAACGTAGCACTTATTTTTGGAGACAAGACAAGAATGCCCCAAAAAAAGTTTTTTGGGGCATTCTTGCTTTGTTTTTCCAGTACACATTGGGTCCCTCTAGCTGCCGAGCTTTTGATCATCTGAACTCCACCCCAACGAGCAGCGAGAGCAACTATCCTTGTGGGGACAAAAATATTCCCTGCACGCCTGTTTTGCACGGTAGGTTGACCGATACCCCCAAGGTGATTTCTCACAACCTATCTATGCGAGTATCACACTCTTTCTAATATATCCATCAAAAACATATCTATAGCTTTGCACCATAAAATACTACACTTAGTCGCATCTCTCCAGGGACTTTTTGTCGTCAATTTTGTTGCTCCTACTGTTTGGAGTTGTCTCTCTTTCAAGCGAACACTTATTTTTACCCTAAATATAAAACTGAAACCTTTAAACTAACCCTTAAAAGTTAACACCTTAACCCAACACTTAAACTTGTTCCCTAATATACAAACTTATTCAGTTCACATTATCCCTCCCACTAACACTGACCCTAAACCTAACTCTTGAAATACTCTAACAATAACATAACCCTTAACCCTTTCGCTGCCAAGGACGTATGGCATACGGACCTACAAAAGTGCTTCCAGCTGGCCAGGTCAGTATGCCATACGGACCTGGCATTTACAGTTCTACTATAAGCTGATGGTCGCTTTAGCGACCATCAGCTTATAGTATAACTGTTCAGCAGACTGTCCCCTTTAAATTAATAGCTGAGCTGTCATCAGCGGCTCAGAAGCCGCTGATGACCGCTATTATCAAAAATACCGGGC